AGAGAGAGAGAGAGAGAGAGAGAGCGGAGGGAGGTCCTAGAATAGGCCTCTAAACAATGCCGAACGATTTGTAAAACAATGTCAGCGTGCGCAATTTTAATGATTGCAGATATTTTAATGCGGCGCTAAGCAATGCATTGTTCTCAAGCTGCTTATAAAATGTATCTTTGCATCTTTTAGCGTTTGGCGCTGCAGCAGCGTCAGCAGCAAATGGCGCCCTGGAGGGCTTTTTTGACGCTTTGACGAATGGATTGCCTTTGGATTGCCGCATCTGCAAAGCATTTTCAATTCAGTAAATTGAGAACATCATCAACGATTACTGGAAGAGAGCACTCCGAATAGTCAGTGACTAAATATAGTCAGTTACAGTTTTGTGGTACGTTTTGTTACCACGTTTCTGTAGTTTGTGGCCAAATGCAAAATGATTGATTGTCTTTGGCAATCATTATTATTGTTTGGCATAGGTGATCTCCGTTTATGTCGAGGCAATTAACATACACAGCCAAAGAAACAGACCTGGACATACCGCCCCAGCAGTTCATTCAACTTTTACGCTGCTGACTCAAAATACATCCCGTTGGATGGACCCATAGTTTACCAAACGTCAATGCAGGTCAAAGGCCAATATTCCATAAAATATATATTTCATATATTTCATTTGCTATTATTCCCACAATCTCTATCTAAGTCAGATACGAGTCTACCTTTTTCAACCAACCAATTAGAGCCTACCGCGAAAATTTCTTAATTTGGTTGTCGCCCATCCCAAAATGATTACGCTTTTTTATTAATACAATTTTAGCTCATACAAACGAAGTTTGCGCTGTAAAATAAATACGGCAGGCACAACTGTACACCAAGTATGGAACTTGTCCAATATGATCGACACCATTTTGAGAGCCTAAACTGAGCTGGCGGCACTTAATTTGTTGTTAGTTTCGAATACATAATAGAAAAGCCGTACACTAACTCAGGCACGCACACACTCAATCCGTGAAGTACGGCGCGTACTCATTTTGGTTATCTGGCGAATATCTTTTCACTCTCTGCCCAACTTACTTTACATGTATAATACACATATATAAATAAATCTACACACACACACACGCTAAGTATATATGTATATATGTCTTTCCGAGCGTTTGTGGAAAATAACATTATTTTAAAATCATAATTAAATTCATGGTTCGTGCATCAATATGAGCGCAAATCAAAAACTGTCTGCCTCTTCGCTCTTTCAATACTTTACTTAACTAGTTCGGTGCTCTACTCTCCCTCTTTCTCTCTCTATCTCTCTCTCTTTCTCGCTCTCTCTCTCTCTCTCTCGATATAAGCGGCCGCAAGGTGAGCGTCGACATTCGTCTTATGTTTTGTACGTGTATCTGTGTGTGTATATATTTTGAATGGCTCGATCGCTTCTATTGTCTGCACACCAACGCACACACATATATATTGAGAGCCGCTGCTTGTGTAGGCCGCGTCAGGTTGTGGCCGTTGTATTGGTATAGGTGTAGGTAGAGGTAGGTACATAGCACGCACGTATGCATGTGTTTGTGTGCGTTGGTCTTAATTGCGCCTCCGTTGGCTGATTGTTCGTTTACACGAGCATAATTCCATCCAATCTAATGCCGAGGCGTAATTTCACTTTGTCGAAAGCACCACCCATTTCCTATAGCATCTTCGCCTCTACACTGTACAGCGTGTTTTTTTCTTTTGCTCTTGTCATTACTAATACACTCACCTCTCGTGCCTCCTAACTTGTTCATTTTTCGTGCGTTTCAATAATTTCATAATCATGTTTCTATTTTTCACATTGATAACTGCAGCACAGTCACCGGAACTGAAAAACTCTAAAAGCTGGAGCCTCATGTAAATCTCAGCATTCGTGTACATATTTTGTACAATGTCGGGACATTAATAACTCATGCACAGCCCCAAAGCGGTGTCAACGACGCCTCCACTTTCATCGAAAGATAAATGAAATGTCATTTGCTGTGCGTGTTTTTGGTACACGTACGCAGACTAACAGATCGGACGTTCTGCATCATTATAGTGTCTGTTCATCATATTGAAAATCTTTATATTCTGCGATTCATAACATTCCCCAATTTGAGACTTATATAGAAAAAAAACACTATTTATTTTGATTTGTATTTTTATTTTGTGTGGATAGTTATCCATAATTATATATATGAAAGATCTGCGAAAACCGGCTACAATTATATTAATCCATGAACACATTCCTATAGCCGTGCACACAAAGCGAACTACGTTTTTGGATAGAAACTTTAAATATTCGTATGATATTTCTAGACATTGGTTTGTCTCCGCTCCGAAACATTTGTTGCTGACAATAATTGTTCTACTTTAGAATATAATTTTAGCTATTTGTGACTCTGCAGGAAGTCATTAAGCTCGTGAGGCAGCACACACAAAGTTTACCTCCCCCTAAAAAAAAAGCGCACAGGCAACGCGACAAAATAAAATAAAATCTACGTGTAAAAGCAGACAAACACTCTAAAAACATCGAATTGTCGCGGGGCGTTCCAGGTTCGGTCTACCACCACCCCCCCTCCACACAATGAGAGTCCGATCACATAGAGCGGCTAATGTATCTAATAGATACACGACAGCATGTCGAACTCTGCCATCGGAGCATAAACCGAGCGGAATGAAACGGGCCTGGAGTGGGTAGATCCACAGCATCATCCACAACGTGAGTTTCTAATTAACATTCGGGATTGTAGTACACGTTTAATTTATATCTTATTGATGCCGGCGACATTTGTATTTATTTTTATCAGCGCCCCTCTCGATTGGGTCTTGTCTCTAGTACTTTTGTTAAAATCATTTTTCTTACTATAGTGCTGGCATACAATATGTATGCATGTGTGTGTGTGTGTGTGTGTGTGTGTGTGCGTGTGGGTGTGTATGGAATTTTATTTTTATAAATATTGTGGAAAGCTCGAAATTTATATGAAATAGCCATCTCATATGATCTTGCTGTAGTGTCTGTTTTTGTCTTTGTTATTTCGTGTATAATTATTGTTCATATTTTTTTTTTTTTTTTTGTTGCTTCTACTCATTTCACGCGTTTGCCTTTCGTATGGTTGTTGTTATTTTTTATCTATACTCTAATTAAAATATTCGTGTGTTTGCTTTTATTTGTCTGTCTTGCTTTTTATATTTTTATAGCATACGAAAAAATGAAATGTTTTTTGTACACACACATTTATTTCGATTTTGTTTTAATTCTCGACACAAATCAAAAAAAAAAGAAAATAGAAAGAGCAGATCGTGGGAGGTTCAAGTTTATTTTAGATAGTATGTACTTGCTTCTTTCTAAACTTGATATATTTTTACTTGATATTTTCCAAACTTGTTTCAATCATTTTCATATCTCATTTGAGATTCCTTTTTATGGGGAATCTTTCCGAATATTCTGGCCCGTAAGCTTTGTTATTTATTTATTGGAAAATTGTTGATGTAAAAGGATTTTCCGCAAATCGACAAGTCTTGCGGCCTTAGCTTTTGTTAATCTTCAGATAATTAAGTGTGATCTGAATGCCGTATTAAAACACGCACAACATACGTTTATATAGCTGTTTCTGCATTTTGCTTGTTTTATTTATAAACATTTATACCGCTTATAAGTACCCATCTCCGTGATTGTATATTTTTATTTAAATACTTGTGCTTATTTTGGTGACCTGACTTGTTTTTTTTATTATGATTAGGCCAGTTCCCGGAAAACAATAAATATTGAAAATCAGACAGGATCACTCTTAAGAATGTTCAAAATATAGACGATCTTGACCAAGTCTCACAAAAACTGGCCAATAAGCTGCTAAAGGGTATTTGCTGTCTTCTAGCAGGCAAGTTAACAGCTTAGTGAGATGGTACATACAGTTGTTTAGGTGCATCCTCTTCTAACCTTTTTGTTGCCCCGAATTTCATCAAGTGTCCAGCATCGAACATGTTCGATGTTGCAACTAAGCTCAAACGCAAAACCATGTTAACAGAATGTTTACAATTTCTCAGATGTTTAAAACAATGAATATTACTACTAAGATGTTATTTTCCCCTATTTTACATTTAAAATATATCTTGGAATTTAAAAAAAAAAGTTTCTATAACATATGTTTTGAGCGATTTAAAGAGCGATCCCTTAAGCCTGGACTTAAGCAGAGGTTCGTTCATTGTGCCGGCCGTAACATAAGGTAACTCAGACCACAAATTTTACATTCTCTGTTAACAGAAATTATTTTTGATATTTGTCTATCAAACACATCAATGACAACCTACCCGGTCTGCTCGCTCGGTTGCAACTAGTTTCGGTTGGACGTGCAACATTTTGGCTTGCCGTTTTGTTTTATGTGCCGGCGTTCGGCTCAAACGAATGTTTCGTTCGCTCCAACAAGCCGAAGCAAGTCCAACAAGACGAGGCAAGAGCAAGTAAAAAAATTACGCGGGTGTTCTCAGTACATTTCCAGCAATCAGACGGGCAGCAGGTGTCGTGGTTGAAGTGCGGCTAAATTTGCCTTCTTTGTGATTTGTTTTGGTTTTTTGGCCAAGTCCGAGAATGGCTTGCAATTGGATAATCATTTCAATTACAAACACAATTGCATGCAATTGTCGCGAACGATAACTGAATATTGAATAAAAGTGCGAAAATACAATTAAATGGATTCAGCTTCTTATAATAATTTAACACGTTCCAGTTCAAGTGATAATTTATTTGCAATTTATGCCCGAATGCAAGCGAAAACAATAATCAAAATAAACAACAACCAAAAATCAGTGACAATTCGCCTCCTGCGGCTAGGCAACCCGCAACAACAACAGCAACAACAACGACAATAGCTGCAGCAGCAGCAGCAAAAAAAAAAAATCACATACACTCGCACACACACACACACACACACACAGAACAGCAGCGGCAAATTGGCATAAATAAATAAAAATCAGCGTTGTTTTTGCTTTTTTACAACCTGATTTTTATGAATGAATGCAATAGCAGCAGCAGCAGCAGCAAAGGCGACGGCCGCGTCGCGTGTACAGGAGCGCAGCAGCAGCGCCACTCGCGATTTGCCTGTTAAGTAGAGCCCAGACAATTCGCAGTCGGCGCCCGCTTGTTACAGCCCTGTTAATTGTTTATATGTATGCAGTTCGAATGCGAATTTCGATTTCGATTGCGATTCCCCCTGCGAACGCCTTGGTGACACATCGCGCTCAACACTTGTAATAGTTGTTGTTGCTTTCAGTGGTTGTCGTCTTTCAGACACACGCAAACACACACACACACACACACACACACACACAGATACTGTGACTACAATTGCCGCTGTTGCAAAATTAATAACGGAAGTTGTGCATTTTATTAATAAAAGCGAAAAATCACACACAGAGCGCAAAACCAAAAAAAAAAAAAAAACACATTAAAATCACAGCGCACAAAATGCATTCTGAACGTCATCTTTTTTAGCTACTCTGCTTTAGCCGCTATTCGTTGTTATTGTCTGTGCTGCACTGTGGGCCCCCCTCATTGATTCTGATTGGCTTTGTTTCAAATTTTAGCAGTTTGCAGTGTTTTGTGCATCATCCCTAAACAAAAAGGCGCCTCGCAGAAACCTAAATTCTAAATCGACTAAAATTCATACAACCAGCCACCCACATACAAACAAATAAACATACAAAAAATACGCATACGCACGCGTTTACAAAAGCATTGAGAAAGTTTTCTAATTTGTGATTTTTCCAACTGAATGCACCGAATGTGGCAGAAAATTGACCTCTAAGTGACCAAAAAAAAAAGAAAAAAAAAAACAAAAAATACCAACGGAGAAGAAGGATTCACGATCCGAAGAGCTGACATAAACAACTCTTTTATAAGCACATTGGTAAGTTTAAGCAAATATCTTACGGATTTCTATTTAATTCAAGCTATCAAATGTGTCATAAAAAGGTTTTTCAAAACGTAGGCAACATTTTTGTATATCGTAGATATATTTAATATTAAAATTATGTTTATCAACATGACAATATTCCCATTTTGTAGTTGAAATAGATTATTTCAATGGTTAATTAGTATTTGCAAGACATTGCATTCATTAATCAAAACAATGTAAATCTCATGTTTAATAATCGTCCCGCGAACTCTGAAGTAATTTCCAAAGACTGTCAGTAGATATTTGTTGAAGGGAATGTAGAGACAATGTTGGTAATGGTAGATAATGGATGTCGAGATACGGATGCTGTTGCTGCTGCTGCTGCTGCTGCGTAAGTGTAGTTTTCTCGCCCGGCTAATGTTGTTTTTTGGGCCAACGAAAACAAATACAAACAGAGAAAACATCGAGCGGCTAACCAGAAATATATAGTTAAAGCAACAAAACGCCAAAGAATGCAGAGGAGGTGAACAATTAACGCGTTGCTGTAATTACAGCGACTGCTAAAAACAAAAATGAAAAGAAACCAAAAAAAATAAAAAAATAAATAGGAAAAAATGTTTGAGAAAGAAATTAATAATCAATAACCCGCTAAAAGGCAGCAGCCAAATCGCCAGAGGAGCTTAGCAGGGACAAGCCAAAGAATTTGGGAAGTCAGAGGTAATTTTATCGGTCATTGAACGAGAAGATTTCCAAGCGAATTTTGTACCAATCGAAGCAGAGCCAGATTTCACAGTCTGAGGGCTAGTCTAAGGGGCGGCCCACAGGGGCTGTTGTTGTTGTTGCTCTCTTGTAAGCCACGATCAGTTTTCGGCTAATTACGCTTCAAAGTCAAAGTTCAGTTCAAAATATCCAAAATAAAACAAAAATCGTTGAGTTTAGCTGCCGCTAGCTGGGGCCCTCAAGTGAGCCAACTAATTACATAAAAACAAGTGATTTGCGTGCCTCACAGGCAACGACTTTGGCTTCAACTCTGCAACAACAATTTTTCAATGCTTTCAATCCGTGTACCGCTTGTAATTTGCAACTCACCAAGTTGCGTAGCTAATTAGCAGAGAATTCAGTCAGAAGACTAGGCAATGGTTCAGTTCTATTCTTTATTGATTTTGCAATAAAGCATCCCGAGGGTGAGAGCCGAGAGTGGTTCCTGATATGACCTCTGACTGGCGCCTTCTGTGTCTGTTTCTCTAGCCGCGGCCTCGAACAATTTATCATTAAAAATAAAAGTTTTTCGGGTTTTTTAGCATTTTAGCTAACCACCCTGCTGTGGTCAAGCACTGGGGAATGGGGCACATTCGTCGCCGTTCTAGATAAATAAGCATTCTTAATTATCCCCTTTCGCCAGGACACACCAAAACAGCGAAAAAAAAGAAACAATAATATTATAAACAATGGAAAAACCGCGCACTTAATGCGTTTTCTTTTACAGCAACAACAACAACAACAACAAGAACAACAAGCGAAAAAGCCAAGTATTTTTCTTCATATTATTCATTATATTACTTTTTTTTTTGCCGAGCTAAAAAGGAAAATGTTTTTATTGCCCGCAAAAAAGGGTACAAAACGGTCTGAAGACTTCTTTGTCGTTTTTGTCGTTAGCCATTAGCCCCGTACCGACCCCGCTGGCCAACACCCTCCAATAACTCATAAAGCGAGGCAAATACTTATGAAAAATTCAAAGTGCCGGCCCAAAAATTGGCCACAAGTGAGTCTGAAAGAAGACCACGTTGGCCAAAATGCCAGTGCCAGCGCCAGTGCCAGTGCCGACGGCAAACGAGATCTCAAAATCACCGCCAACTCTCCTGACAGCAGAATGACTTTTCCCTTTTCCGTTGCCTTTCCGTACGGTAAATACAGCCGTGCGAATGTGTAATTGCAGTTGGGCTCTGAAAGGTAATTCTTGAAGGACAATTGTTTTCTTAGTGGCGCCTCCGTTGCGGCCATGAGTTGGCAAATTTGTCAGCAAACAAAGGCCAAATCTGAGTTGAAAATTGAAATGCACTTAGTATTTGGGATTTTACCTTTACAGCAAATAATATGAATGTTGAACGTGTTGCTTTTATTCTAAGAGGATGATTTGTCAGTTCTTTATCCTATGCACACGAATTTGTAGGTGGAAGATCATATCGTCGGTTGCATTTGAATTCATTTTCCGCAAAAAATCGAAAATATTTGAAAAATGCCTTTTGTGACAGGCTAAATACGTAATAATAATAGCAAGAGAAAATGTGTTTGATTATCGGTAAAAAAAAAACTCTCAGTCGAACAAGGAAGCCCTTGGAGAAAAGTCTCGTTTCGTCGATCATTTATTTTTGTAGTACCAAATCTATTCAAAATATCGTTTTGTTTTTTAGTTCCTTGACATATATCTTAGCGTGACAACTAGTCTAGAATTTCATACAAATGTTAGTAACTTCTTCTATGGAAATCCAAAATATAAAAATTGGTAGCATCAGTTGACAGTTAAAATATATTCTGCGTATCCAAGAGGAACGAACATAGAACGAAATCTAAATAAAAACAAAACAGTTCATTTATAAAACTGAAAAATAAACTTGCATCCGCTAAAGAGGTTTTTTTTTTGTCTGCGTCCTGCATGCCCGAAACGCCCGCTAAACTAAACCCACGACCTAAAAACTAAAGCGTATTTGTGCGGGTGTGTGTGTGTGTGCAGCTTTGTCAAATGCAATTTTCTAACGCAGCCGCAGTTTCAACGTTGACAACGGCGACGTCGACGTCGACGCCAGCGTCAACGGCAGCAGCGGCAGCAACAATTGCAAATTTAAGTGAAAATAAAACACATAACAACAACAGTTTTGGCCAACAACAATAAAAGCCTAAAACCTAATAAAAATTCAAATTAACATTTGAAAGAGCGAGTAGGCGCAAGCGTGCAAGAGAGCAAGCCAATGGGTGCCGCTTAAGCAAGAGAGAGAAAGAGCGAGCGTGGGCAAAATAAAACAACAGCGAAAAGAGAGCGATGCACACATGAGAATGAGACAGAAAGAGCCGAATGCTTATGAAATTCTATTAATTTTTGAACAAAACTGCATGTAATGTCTGTCCCCAATAATCCGCCCACCCTACTACACACCCCACTGTAACTATTTACTGCTGCGTGTGGTTCGACTAATCGCCATAGAATCGCCATGGTGAAGAAGAAGGCGAAAGATGGGGCAGACGTACGATTTTGTTTTTGTTTGCGTATTTTGTTGCAATTTGTTTTTGTTGTGCTACTGCCCCGGCCATTCGTTTGCCGTCGCTGCTGCACTGCAGACTGCAGACACTCGCATAATAATGCAATTTGCCAGCTGCCCCCTCGTAAGCATATTCCCCATTCCACACACACTCACACACACACACACAGTTGTCGACGTCACGCGCCAAAAAGACTGCACGACCAGCTACGCCGTCTGTCGGCAGCCCGAGCCAACACATCCAAACATACACAAACATACACATCTTGAACAAGCAGACACTCACAGACACACTCGCACACACACACACACACACACACACGCATACCACCATGCATTTGTGCTGCCACCTGCAGGCTTGGCTTCTCCTTCTCCATTTTATTTGCTGTTTGATTTCGTTTTGGTCTGCGTGTGCCTCTCTCTCTCTCTCTCTGTCTCGCTCTTTGCGCTCTTGCTGCTGCCCCAGCTCATATTCTCATTTGTGATTTTTGTTTTTGTCCTTTTTTTCGCACAATTTGCCAGTTTTCCACAAAACAGCTGAAAAAAGCACGTGTCATCGTCACTGCGAAGTTTGGCGTCGACGTCGGCGTCAAAGACTGTCTGCGTTTTGTGACGTTTTGTTTTCCACGCGCTTCGCCGCTGCTGCTGCTGCTGCTGCTGCTGCTGCTTCTGCCGTTGTTGTTGCTGTTGCTGTTGCTGTTGCTCTCCATTGCCCCAACCCCAGCCACTGGCAACATCTACTGGCTTCCCTTTTTCATGGTCGCCAATACGTTCGTTCGCTTTAGCTCGCTTGTTCGCTTTTTTCACGGCTCTGGCTTTGCTTTATTTGATTTTTATGCTAAGTATGTGAATTTTCTGTTGATTTCGATGCTTGCGCTTGGTGTTGTTCGGCGTTTGTCAGACGGGACAAAACCGGGAAACCCCATAATGATTTTGGCAACATGCAATCTCAATTGATGATAATGCTGTTCGTTTTTTAGACTTCGTGGGATTAGCCATTGCGAGCCCAACGAGCTGCAATAGGAAATATGCGTTGGCCAAGTCGAAGCCCAAATGCAATTTCTTGCTTACTTTTGCACCGTTTCTTTTGCCACATGAAAATTATTGATTTGCTGACTCGCTTTTTGGCCGCTCGCCAAGCGCAAAGCTAGCAATTTTACTGAAAAATATCTCAAGATATTTGCAAAAAACAACATATGTACATATGCGTATATACATTACTCATGCTCTAACGTACATATTTAGAGTCGTAGATGATGTTATGGCATCTAAACACCTTTGCCATGGCCAGATTGAAGTCAATCTGCCATCGCTTTTTGGCCAATTGTGCAATAGTTGAATGCAGGCTTGCACTCGCACTCGCACTTGCACTCTTTCTGTTACTCTCATTCCTTCTCTTTACCGAACGCCGACTCTTAAGTTTTCGTCTAAATTCCTCAGCTGAGGTTTGTTATTGTTTTCCTTTGGCGTTTTGCCGGCTTGCGAATCGTTGGAGTAAGCAACATGAATGAATGTTCGCTCACCCACACACATACAATTATTGCCTGGTTTCGTGTTGGCTTCGTTGTTGTCTTACTTGCACTTCGTGTCGCTTCGAACGTGTTCGAATTCGCCGACAGTGTACGGGAGCGAGCGAGAGGCAAGAGCTGCTGCTATACCGGAAAAGGAAATCAGATTGGGAGAGTTCTATTAGAAGCGATGCAACCGAAAAAGAGAATTTAGCTTGGGCAATTGCTTCAACTACTTTTAGCCTTTTGCTGCTCAGCCTGCCCCCCCCCCCCCCCCCCCCCCCCCCCGCTTATCAACTGTACTTTCTTGGCCAGAACTTGGTAAGCTGTTCATTAACCGTTAATGCGGCAGATCGTAAATCCAAGTGGAAGGTGTGTCATTGCGACTTATAAATAAAATTAACCGCAAGCACAAGCGGAAATATTTGCGCTTCAAGTGTTGTTATTGTTAATGTTGTTGTTGTTGTTGTTGTAGCTGTTGTTGCGTTACGCATCTCCATCTACCTCATTGATTGTGTTGTTGCTGTAATTAATGGCAAGCAATTACAAAAAAAAAACACACACACACACACACACATTAAAAATTAAAAAGACCCCAATGAGCAGCCCAACCAAAGGTGGAATTACAAAATGAAATGTGAAGAGTAAGTTAAAAAGTGAATTACCTGATAAAGGACAAAACGCGATTTGAGGTGTGTTTGCGGCAGCCCAATACAATGCGTGTCCCTGTCGCCCTGTCTCTGCTCCCACGTGTGGCTTGGACAGGTTATAAACCCGTGCCCAGCATGAGGCTTTACTGACAGCCAGAAGTGCTGCACAGTGGGACTAGCTCATAGAGTTCTTGAAGATAAAGTTAAGAGTAAGAAAGAGGGTAATAAAAAGCTTGCCTCAAATCTAACAATTCTCGACTATCTATATTGAAATATTGTTTTGAGCCATATTTTATTTAAGTTCTTTCTTCGATTTAATTTCGTAAGTCTCATTGAGAAATCCCACTGTGCGTCACCTTCATAATGGCCGAGGCAGTCTTGTCCACTGTCCAGCTGACGCGCTTAATTAATTACGCGATTGTATTTGTGAGTAACTGCCGTCGTTGCCCCCGGGCCTGTAGTCAAGTTTGGGTGTTTCTTTTGGTCTGGTCATTGGCCGGATCACCACCCTAGCTCCCCAGTCGCCCCCCACTTGTCTCCAAAATGTGGCGTATCGATGAGCCTGCACAAAGTTGTGTGGTAATGCAATCGCGGCCAGCGCTCAAACTTCCTATGTGGCAGAAGGAACCGCTGGCGGACGGGTGGACGAACGCGTCACTGGGGAGAAATTAATACCTACTTAAGCCTAACTGGACAGTTGACTCCGTGAAGTCGTTGGCTTTAACTGGTAGGTGATTCAGACGACACGCAGAAATAAATTGTTCCGAGCTGTGTTCTGGGCTTGGGCACTTTGAATCGTTTGGCTGGGCTGGCTGGGATTGGCTTGGAGTGCTTTGGGTTAACACGAAACGAAACTGCTGAATATTCAAATGGCGGCAATTATCCTGTGGTACGCAGGGCATGCGACACGCCCGCAAGGACTAGAGCCGCCCGCCAAATTATGAAGTAACAATTTTTTTATTACCTAAAATTACAATGTGCGTTGCAACTGGCCAAGTCGAAAGGTGCAAGGCGAAGGGTAACCGTTAATTGTACGTCAAGCGAGTCGGATTTTCGTTTGGGTTCGCGTTCGGGTCTTGGGGTCAACAGCAGCTTTGTTCTCGGTCGCCGGCTATCTGCATGGGTGTGTGTTAAATAGTCGCGACCCGTCGACAAATAAACACTCTCCTTAAAAACGGCACACGCGGCCCAGGTGGCAAACGGTCGTGTCCCTATTCAGAGACCTTAGGAGGGAAATTCGTTAACCTTATGTTTACATTTAGCAAAAATCTGAATTACTGTCTATATATATATATCCATATATTTTATTAGAAAAATTACGCTTGAAGTAAATATTTCTTGTACCTAAAACAAGAGCAAAATATTCTCATTGATTACAAAAAGTTTTTGAAATAAATTTAAGATATTTGTATCTTAGCTGAATTTACTTCTAGATTGATTTAATCAATTTACAGTTTTTCTCTGAGTGTATAGATAGATATGACATACATGTGTTACAGTTGCCCATTTCGGTTAATTTCATTAGAAATTCATAAATTCGTGCACAGTGTGCGTTGTGTCTTGCTTAAGGTCAAGAGGGGGCAGCGGTCAGCGGGTGTTCGATGGAGGATGGGGATTAGCTTTGGTGGATGTCACTTTTACATGTGTAAATGTGAGCAATAAAAAACGAATTTCATGTTGTTTTTGCTGCCTACTGCTGTGAATTTTATCCTGTTAGCCCCTTTCACCATGTGGATACGTGGGTGTTGTTGTTGTTGTTGTTAGTTAGTTACCGTGTTAGTAGCCATCATTGTTGTTGTTGTTGGGTCATTATTGTTGTCGTAATTTGTTTATAACGGTATTTATGAAATGGTCACAAGTCAACGCTTTCGCCACTCTTCGCTGCTCCTCCTACCCGACCCGATCCAACCCTTAGACAGTCTAAGGACACGCACTGCCTCGCAGCCGCCAGCACGCCCGGCCCCTTTTAAGCACCCACACGAGTTTGGAGCTAGCACCAATTATTCTTATTACGCCTATTACTTTTTTTTTAACTACTGCGGGTCGATGTTTTTGTTGGCCATGCTGCCCTTTTATGTTAATCGCACTGTTTTTGGCTGCAAAACTCGTGTAACTGTAATTGATATGCGTCCTTATCATGCAATCCTTTGTTACCGAAGTGGTCCGCCGTTATCGTTAATTGTAAGCTGTAACTACGACCATTGTACACAAATTATCAATAGCTTTTATGGCCCTGCATGTATGCACCTTTTTAGAGATTCGACTTAAGATCAACGCAGTCGCCTTGGTTTTGGCTCATTGGTGACTTGTCTGCTTGCTTTGTCTAATTAATAAACTTTCACATCTTCAGTTTTTGGTAACATTTTCACTTGAAACTTAACTTTAAGAGGTAGTCGGAGTAGTAAAATGTCGAATTGGTTTATGTAAATTATTGGTGAACACATACGAGAAGACAAAAACAGTCGCAGCTGGCTCTTTGGCTGTTTGTTTGGCTTGATCAATTAAATGGCCAAGAGCCAACGAATTTGGCCATCTAAGATAGACTTGAATAATTTATTGGATTTTGACAGTTAGACTTTAATTACAGCATTTCTATTTTATAAAGTCTCTTCGATATTCGGTGTTTCAGTGTAGGAAAAGAAAGAAAGCGTATATCGATTGGCAACACGCATCATCAAAGTACCATAGCTGCGATCCGATGCGGTCTGCACGGTGGCAGCGCCGGCTCAACCTTTGACCTCTAGCCGCACAGGTAGATACCCAATTGCACAGCCGTGACAGGGGAGCCGTACTGAAGGGCATGCTGCTACCTTTTATTTTAGTTTTTTTTTTTTTTTTTGGTTTTTTGATATCATAAAACAATAAATCTTTTTAATATCTGTGCCGTTGTTGTGCGCATCTTTTTCACATTTTCTTCGTCGGAGGCGTACATTTTCCTTTTCAGTTGAAAATTTCTCACGTCCTTTTGGAGAGGCGTTGGCATTACTCAAGTTTGTGGATTTGAAGTAATAACTCAGTGCGTCATAAAAATTTTAATTGCTTTGGGTTTTGTCGGTCAGCCAAGTGCCGAAGCAGTTTTGGTAATTAACATTAACCCGAAAGCGTCCAAACAAAGCGCAAACAATGCAAAGAACCCAATTCACCGGCCCTCCCACCCCGCTAACCGGGAGTCATCGTCACAACAACAACATGGAATAAAAGAACAATGAAGCAATAAAAATTGCAGCGCATAATTTTCTGCTGCCTCCATTTGGCTTAACATTGCCCCCACAACTTTTCCCTCCAGCCCCTCCATGGCATAAATATGGGACATACGCAAAGTGAACCCTTTTTCGTGGCGGTCAAAATTTTCACGCGTATTTGTAATTAGTTTGCTTATTGTTTTCTCGATTTTTGTGGAAGTTCTTCTTGAACTTCTTGGGAGTTTGGAACACTGGAGTCTTACTGTAAAGAGCTGACCCTCAATTGTTATTTAAAGAGCTAGCTGATGTCTATGCCCAGATAGTTAAGAGCTTTACTTGCCCACGAAAAGAAGTTAAAATGTCAAAGGCTAGGGCACAATCGAATATGATTGTTATACTCATGCCTTTTGGCATCGGGACTTTTGTTCGATTCCATAAAAACATAACAATAACAGAATATTAGTCAAAACAATTACATTGGTTCCATCTGTTTGCTTTGTGGTCCTGAATCTTTTATCCTGCTTGCGCTTGGAATTGGATGCGAAGCAAACAAAAAACGGCCACTGTCATGCAGGAAATTTATTTTTGGGTTTAACAAGTAACAAAATCTTGGAAAAATCAACAGCAATTGTTGTGCACTTTGATGTTTGGTCAAATGCAGCTACACAGACGTTTCAGCCAAGTGCTAAGTGACTGCAATTAGAAAACGTAACGTCAGGTAGACAAAAACCCAAAGGGATCCGCTGTGTATAAATCTCTATAGACTTGGGCACGCTCGCAACGGATTCGTGTCGAATCGAAATTCAAGACAATCGAGGGGCGGCAATAAATTTTATATTATTCGACACTTTTATCATAGGGTTTCGTTCTACAAACTATAGAAGATCTTCCTCTAATGTTTTCACCCTGTGCTGTCTATTTACAGATCGCGTCGGATCGGAGCACAAGTACAGCCAGCACTTAATGTGAGTATATATTTGACTGCCGGCCAATGTAGAGTTAACTGCTGCTCTGGTCTGGTTTATAAGCAAGTGAAACGGCAAATCAATTCGCTAATTGAATGCCACGCAATTGAAATGCTCATTTGATGTTGTTAAATTCGTATAAGAGTGCACCCCTTGGAGCGCCCACACCGGGCGCCTGCCCGCGGTTAACAATCTTAATAGAATCAAAGACCGACGCAATATGAGTTTTAATTCGGCGTAATTGTGAAGAACTGAAAGTTCTCTATCTCTGTCGAGCAGAGCGCTACATCGAGTACATCTGCGCTCCAAACATATATCTATTTGCAAAACAATAAATGTGCCTTCCCCCAACCCCACCACGCCCTGCGGCCTCCTCTGAAATCAATTAACAAAATGTCGCAGCGAGTACTCGACTGTCCAGCGACTCGATTAATAACTGCTTGCAACAAGTAAACAAATCGTCAAAATCAAGAGTAAAATCTGAATAAAAAGTAAGGGTATTTTCAAATGGCAACAGCAAAGATTTCTTCTTCTCTTTTTACATAATTTTTTTTTTTTTTTTTGCTTCAAAGGGGTGCGTCCATGCATAGAACGCCCCTTGATTTCCTCTTTAGAGACTGGCGCGCCGATTTTCTGAACAGCTTCAATTGTCTGCACTTGAGTTCAATTTTTGTTACTCTTGTGTATTCGGTCAGAAAGCAAAAACAGAAACAGAATCAGATTCACAAATAGCAACTACAACAAAGTGGCGGCAATCATTATTTTGGGGTAAATGCTTTTAAAGCTCTTCCATTCAACGACAGCCAAATTTCTACGAACACAATGTTGACCGTGTAAATCCCATACCTTTACAATTGATCGAGTTTGAAATGAACTTTGTACAAATTGAGATATGCAATTATTACGTACTTTAGTGACGCCAAGAGTCGATGTAAACTAGATTGTATTTTAGGGCATCAAAAGTGATTTTCTTTCGATTATGACCATAGTAAATAATCCAATTAATCGGATTATCCGTATGCAAAGTGAACTGACCTTTAACCGCAAAGTCTATTCGAATGAATTTACCTTTTCTTTGTAGTTTCAGGGATACATATATGTATATATTTAAATAGATAGTTGTATTCAGAAAAAGTCTGCATCATTCAGGCGTAATTTGGTTCGGTTTATGGTTCGAATTCCAATTCCCTGCATTTTGGCTCGATTCGTAAGCCCGATTTTACACATCCTAGAACTCAATATCAAACTAGAGATAGTCAAAGGTCGTAATTTTCTGTGTGAGATAGGCAAACTCTATTTCTGGAACCTGATACACGCACATGTCTTATTTTAAGCTTGGTTTGTCACATATTTTACAAATTTTAATGCAAATATTTAACTTTTCATTTCCAATTGGCCGTTCTACTGAAAATATTGTAACGCGTAGATATTTTAAACAGCCGTTGAGTGGTAAATTTTAAGTCTAACCATATTTGGAATCTACCAAAATATGTTTAGATAAATCTAATAGCTTGCGGCTTAGCTGGTTTTGTTTAGTTTTGGTTTGTATTCCCCTAAAAATATGTGCATCAAAGCTCGGTACCATATGAGACTGACATAAAACGGTAGCTCATAGCTTGCACCCTGTTTTGCAATTTGTTCGACAAATGAAAATTACAGAGGCTTAATTACTTTTAATAAAGACGTCCGTGCGTGGAAATTTTCTACTTCATTAGCAAAATATGGTTTTGCATAATGGCTCATTATGCCAGCAGATGGGGCTGATCAGCTCGGGCAAATGATAGCGGCGAGCAGCCAGAGCGGAAGGGGTAACCAGTGGGTGTGTGGGAGGTCGCCTTAATACACACAAATTGAAAATTGATGAACTTATCCGGTATGGGGACGGCACATCGAGATCTGATGGCACTCGAATATCAATCAATGAAGATCGATTCGATGCGATATGCAGGCCGTTATAGCAAGCGATCGACGGCAAAAGCTATCTGACTGCACATTTGAAGGAAATTACTAATAACAATGACTTTAATTGAATATTGCGCACTTCATTCAGTTCTCATTCAAAATTTGAACTCGATTTGAATATGAATTTGAAGATGGGCAATGAGAGCAGCAACGAATTATCCATTATAAACTTCAAATCGACCATAAACACTTAAGCCTCATACACACACATACATGTGCATGGTTGTGTGTGTGTGTGTGCTTGTGTGTTGTTGGTGAGCTACATTAGACATCAGTCAGCCGATCGATCCGTATGTGAGGTACTGACGTTATATTTGGATACAGTGGATAACAAAGTTGGCTCACATACCCCAAGATTCGCAGCGTACTTGCGTGGTGGCTTCTGCTCTTGTTGTTCTTGTTGTTGTTGGGCGCCGACCGCGTTCCGTTGGCCCCCGCAACCAATTCATGCATGAAAGCAATTTTTAATTTATTTTGGTTGAGCGCTTCATTTTCCTAAAATTATGACATAATCACAACGGCAGAAGCAACAGCAACAGCAACAACAACAATAAAAGAGTCACCTAATAATGTCATGTGAAATTTATCGTACCCCAAACGAGTACCAGGGGCGTGGCTGCAGAACTGTGGAATGAGCAGCGGCGGGGGGGGCCAACAAGAGGGACAGGCGAACTGGAAACATAGACGCCGCTCTCTGTATGGGGAAATATATATTTGGATGCGACAAACACCTTCCGCTTCACAAATCAGCGCATGTGTTGACACTGTCAGCTCAGTGAAAGGAGCTGCGGCAGGGGCGTGCAAATGGAACCTTGGCTGACCAGTTGTCAGTCGGTTAATGTTAATTTTATAATTAACCTACTGCGAGCAACAAAATTGGCGCATAAAAAAAACATCAAAACATTCAAGCCAAGTGCTCGAGTATCGATTGACTATATAAAATTCGTTTAATGGCACAGCGTGGCCCAGTGTGAGAAAAAACTGACAGAGATCAGTTTAGATACTAGAAGATTAAAGCAAATACAAAAGGTTTAACTAGCACAGAAAATGTAGCCACTAGCAAATATTTTTGTCAATAATAGCAGAAGACACTTCAAATTGTTTAGTTAATATTAAAAATAATAATTAAAAGAGAGAGAGAGAGAGACAGTTTTGATTTTAAAGCAACATTTTTGAAAGAGTTGACAAAAATGTCCAACTCAGAAAGTAGAACAGATTCGAGTTGCTGACCCGCAATTGGAACAAAATGGTTGATACAATCAAAATAAGTAATTAGATGAAATACCGTGGGCGAGATATGTAGATGGATCAGGTATGTAAACACGATCGTTAAATGAAGCATTGAAAAACGAAACAATACAGCAGCAAGAAAAAAAAAACAAGCACAAACACAATCACCATACAAGCCCACAAGCCCGTGTGTATATATAATGACAAACAAATAGAAATAGAAAACAAGTTAACCAATGAAATAAAAGCAAATTTAATGACAAAAACGCGAGCGCCAACAACTTGGCCAATACGCGTGGCCAATGCCTGAACGCATTACAGGCCAGCGTGCTGGAGATGGAGCGAGAGATCAGCAGAGCAGCCGCGGAGCGACAACAAAGGGCAGATGGGTACACCAAACGCTCCATTGGAGGAAGAGTGGTCAGGGGAACTACAAAATGAGATACACATAAAAACCGAACCGAACAATGTATTAAATGTTATAAGTTGTAGACATTCAGTTAAAGTGCGAAAGAGTCGCAGCTAGTGCAAGAGTGAGACGGCACGCTCAGCTCGAAGGCAATGACACTAACATATCTACCATTTTTATTTGATTTTTTCTTTAAAAAAACTAAATAAATTATATATATGTATATATACATATTTAAGTACAAGCCCTAAACATTTTGCTCTATTACTGGAGATCGTGTATTTTATTTTATTTTTTTTTTTTTTGCTGAGCATTTCACTTTGATTTGCTTTTATTGCTTTTCCAATGCTGAAGGGAAATATTCGAGTTGAACAACAAATTAGCTTGTAGTGGATTTGGTAGATATGCGATACACACCACACATACATTGATGCTAGTTGTACATAGATGGACGCTTTCTCTCTTGGCGTTAATTGTATTCGAATAATGATGCAGCTACGTATCTATCAGATACTTTTTCTACCAACTCTTTGGCTCAGGCTATTTGAATTTATGGCCAGTTTATGTAAATTTTTAATACTATTCAGTTGTTGTTGCTATTATAGCTGATATACTCATATGTTTCTATATTATTATTATTATTACCTTTTGGGGGGATTTGAGTATAGTGACTTGTTTTTTGTCTGTTTCTACATTTTTCCCATTTCTCAATATTAACAATTTATTTTCTACTTTTTTTTTTATTTTATTTTATTGTTGTGCGTCGCGCAGTTCATTGACACTTATCAAAAGCACTGAGCGAGCAGCGTAAAATTTATCTGTATCTATATTTGTATTTGTAAATGTATCTATATCTGTATCTGTTTGTATTATGGTCAAAGAAAGTTGGAAACTCTTTTTAGTGCTGCCGCATTTGCATACATTTGGCCACATCTTTATACTTAGCATGCGAAACGTTTCGGCTGCGCAGCTAATTGCGGCCCATTAGATGCCTATCAGCTGGCCCACACCATTAGGAGCATCATTTGGATTAAGTTGGAAATTAATTAGCACAGGTTAACCAAATACTCCACAGCTCTGTGTGGGTGAGGGTGCTCATAAAACCTAAAAGCAAACTGTACCAAATTAAACTATTGCACAATTTGGCTTGTCATAGTTACTCAATCAGCGTGCAGCGTAAGATACACATCTACACGCACACAAACACACATACACACACACACACACATGTGAGTGATGAGATTTGGGGTGGGGTAAGAACCCATATCCATATCCACCTGCGAGCCGCCCAAGTGTGGCACTCAGTTCAGGTTTCCATTGCGCTTTGGAGTGCCAGCGTGTTTTTTATTTATTCATTTTTTATTCTTTTAATTTTATTGCTTACTTTTATCGCTGGCCCTGTCAAATATGTGAACGCTTTTGGCCTACCCGTCCGTGCTCGTAATATCTTTAGTCGTATCTCGTCTATTTGCTCATTTAATTTCGTACTTTGATGCTCGGCTTTGAAATTTGAAATTACTCAATTAGTTTAATTAGCAGCTTGGGCGATTCGACTTGATTTGCGGTCATTTGGCTATGACAACGACTACGACCACGAATAGCGAAATGGATCGCGTAAACAGCCTGTCAGTTTTGCCCACACGCAGCCGATACACCAAACTGATCCAACTATTGTTTTTCTTGAAATTGAAGCGCAAAGTTGACGGACTAGTTTTCTATACGCATTTTAATCAGTCTAAGTATAACCCATATGCGCTGGTGCCAAATATAGTCTAGACTTACTTTCTTAACATAGTAAAGAGATTGTTAATAGGTGAAAACTTAAAATTATTTGTGAACCCGGCTTCTCACATTTCGGTTTGAACTTTAAACATATTTTAGACAAGAGAATTTGTTTTGAATTTTCACTTTTCCCTTACCTCCACAATTTTCCCGTACTTCTAATGAAATGATTTTTTTTATCATTTTTTTTCAAACCAATTTTGAAGCTTGATTTATTTGTCAAGTCCAGGTGTATGAATTACGCATATCGCTAGCATTCGGATGCGTCAAAGTCAAAGACTTGGGCGATTGCCATTTATCAAAATCATTAATGCAATTACGCGACCCCGTAAGACTGGATGCCTTCTTGCTGGCTAATTATTTTGAATTATTCAATTTCATGTCTCAATTTAAAGTCTCAGAGGCAATTAGGCAAGTCGGTTCTGCTTGCTGTTCCCATTGCTGTGGCTCTTATTGTTTCTGTTATCTATCTGTCCAGTCATTTTAGTTTTTGTCCGCTGAGTGGCACTTTGATGCGCGTCCCGGGTGTGTGGGGGCCGGGGTTTGGGGGCGGTGCCGGGCATGTTCCTCTACAAATGCAAATTAGAAATGTGTGGGACTAAAATGAAAACCATTTAAATAATTGAAAATCGAATAAATCGCGCACAGCGCGAAAAGCAAATCGAAACCAGAAATAATAAGAAAAATGGCACTGAAATCCAACAAAATTGGCCCCCATATGGGACAGGTGAGGGGGGCGCCTCTAAACCAAGTGGGCCTACAACTAAAAGCAAATGCGATGACCGCTCAATGCAAGTAAATATACATCGTGTACATAGAAATATATAAAGCCGTACTATACACTTATATATATATATATATATATATACATACAAATATGTGTATGTATTTGTGTGGTTGGAAAATGCGCGTCGGTTTATTGATGTGCAAAATCTAATTAATTATTTCATTAAAAGTGTATTTTATTGACATTCTAATTTGGATTTTTAGAACATTTTTCGCATCACAAGTGTGTGTGTATTGGTGGTGTGTCTATCTATCTATGCACATACATATATATGTATATGTATATATATATAAATATATAGCACTATATATGTGTACAATATTTACGATTAAACTGGTTTAAATTTGTGCCTGCTTGTGTGGCCTATGCCCAATTTTAATTGGTTTTTAACTAATTTGCTTGCATCCCATTTCAACCCAATTGTCCAATGTGTGTGCGTGTGTGCAGACTTTCTTATAATACACATATTGCAAATGATTTATTTTGACATATTCTAATCAATTTCATGCATTAAACTATAATTTTATATATGTAACATAACTATTCTAATAATTATGCTGGTTCCTTTATAAATTCTCACATGATTAAGAGTACATAAGCCCCAACAAAACAATGAAATTGGTTTAAAAATTATTATTTGATTGCGTTGACGCCGAATCGCAATAATCGTTATACGGAACGTTTTTGCTTAGCCCGATATTTAATGCGGTGTAAGTTCGGGTAGTTCATACACTCAGAATAATTGTCTTAAGCTCATAATGAGAAGCTTAAAAACAGTAATTAGCACAAGAAAGTTTATACTCTCTTTGAAAGCCTCAGAAACTATTGTAATAAATATTTTATTCAAAATTCAGATTCATTTTTTCATATCCATAAATGCAATCATATTTCATGCCTTGAGGAAATTGAGAATAAAATAGCCTTATCTTGCAAGTATGTGATACGTCGTTTTTCTTTGAGTGTACTGAATGAAGGGCAGGGGGTGTTGTGTTGTATTCTCTGCCTTTATTTGGGCTGGTTGCTTCATTTACCAAGGCGCCGTATCAATTTACCCAAATAGTTAGTTGGCATAAACGTTGTTATCCTTATGTGTGCTTCCTGCTTGTCTAACAACAACTGTTGTTACTTGTCTCAACCCCAAACTCCTTTGCACGCATATCGTGTACTACGTATTCATGTGCTATATATGTATGTATATATGTATTGAGAATCATATGATTGGATATGAAGCGGCTTCTGTGTTGTTTAGTAATTCGTTTTTTATTTACTATTATCATTTACATTTATTTGTTATTATGATATGCCCTTTCCATACTCACACAGACTTCACAGAATGTGTCATTGAGTGTGTGGGCGTGTGTGTGTGTGGGTGTGTGTGTGTGTGTGTGCTCGCTTGGCCTTTTTATTTGGACGGGTTTTTGTTTTTCCACGCAAAATTTTGATATGTTTTGTTTTAGACAGGCGAATTGAGATTGCGCTTTGACTCCCATTTTTAGCTGTACACTTTTTTTTTGGAAGTTCTGCGCTAACGTGAGAAATGCAATTGCGTTGCACCCACACACACAAACACACACACACACACACACACACACACACTCACTGGAATCATCCTATCTATATATATACACATAATATATATTTTTTCGTTTACATTTACATATTTTTTGGTAACCAACCGGGTGCGCATTTTGTTGTTTTTTTTTTTTTTTGTTCGTATATATGAGGTTGGTTTTGTTTAGTTATAGCTGTTGTTGTTCTTATTGCCCTTTCGAATTTATGCGATACGAATGTTTGTTCAATAAACGAAATAATTGTCGGCAAGTGTGTTATGATGAAATTGTTTTGGGTTACTTCATAAATTAGCGCACAAATAGTGAGACAGACAGATACATTTATTCCCGCACATTTATTGGCCTCGAAGGGGGAAGCTTGAGCTGTTTTTTTTTTTTTTCACCCCCAAATGGGTCGGAAATTGGATATTTTTAGTTGCAACATTAGTCCAGAAATAAGACTATCAAATAGATAGGTGGAACTGAAAGCTTAGATTGATTTTTCCGTTTCTATTTGAATCGTATTCGTAAGCTTCCAATACGTTGACGCCAAACACAAGTGAAGGTACATAATGCTGTACATTAATCTAGCATTGTATCATGCCCATAATCGAATTTAAAGCAGATTATCATTAATCATCTGCCGGGCAAGCAAACATCCAAGGAAGATGTATAAAGAAACAAAACACACAAGTCAAAACCAAAAACCCAAATAAAAATCAGGAACCCACAGCTGACTTTCAAAACTCCAAATTCCAAGTTTGCTCTTGAATGTGGCATGAATTATTAGCGTGGCACAAAGGCAGGCGCCAATTGCAATCGAAAAGCTGGTGCATTAGGCTTCTGTGATTATTTTGATAGAGGGGTGTTCCGCTTACAATTCCCCCCACCACAATCAGAAACATAAGCGAGGATCAGCAAGCAGTGCCAGAAGTAAATGAATGGGTTTATAAATATTTTGAAGGCAGCACATCGATCAGGTTTGGGTTCTATTCAGGTGTAGAGATTCACGTTGATGGGAGAGGGGCAAGTGTGAGTACATCTCAGTGCCTCAACCTGTAGCTTGATGGATCAACACGACGTGGTGCAAACAACTAATGATCTTATACAATTATTTTGGCTTGTAACTCAAACTCAAAGATCGACTAGGCCAGGCCCAAAAGTGCGGCGGTTGCTTCATTGTTGGCTGCTTGTAAATGGTTAAATTAAATTGATTTGCGTCTAATGCCCCCGACAAGTGGCCCGCTCGGTGCGCTCGCGTAATTAATGATTCCAGTAGACACCACGGAGGGCCGCTGTAAACTGGGCAACCAAGCAACTGAATAACTGGGCGAATAGTGCGGGGCAACCACCAGCCACCAGCCGCCAGCCGCCAGCGTCGTCTCGGTGCTTAAGTATGAATAATTGGTAATAGTATTTAATGATGGGGCTTCCAATACTGCTGAGGGGCCACCTGCCGCACTGTATGCTGTGGACGGTGGCAATTGAACCTAAAATGAGCCAACGACTCATGAGTTTCTTTCTTTTTTTTTTTTTTTTGTTCGATTTTGGATTACAGACAGAGGAGCTACCCCACCCCGATTCGACTTAGGAAACGTTCCGTCCATGGTTGAGGCCCCAAAAGTCCGGTGAAAATGGACAAAGGCCGTAAGAGGTTGCCACAACTTTCGCCCAATTAGCAGCACAGGGAGCAGGAGCAAGCACCAAGATTGGCGGAACGGCACTGTAAATATTTGCGAATCTCCACACAGAGCTGCACAAAGCAAACATTTGTTTGCAATACAATAGAATCGAAGAGCATTTAGGCCTAAGAAATAGGATTCGGCAACAAAGGGCACCGAGGATCGAGCCCATTAAGACACAGTACACAAATAGACGGGCACGCAAGCGAACAGAGAAAGAAGCAAAAACGTTGAGGACGAAGGAATCAAGGACACGGCACAAGTTCCTATAAATGACCGAGTCCACTCAGCTGCAAACGGCGGAGAACAACAACGCGGGCGTGGTCAAAATGGAGCCACCGCCATTGGCGACCTCCACTCACTCGCACACGCACTCCCTGGCGGCAACAGCGGCCGCCGGCGCCGGTACGGCGCTATCGCCAGCAACGCCGCCACTGCCGCCGCTGGGCCATTCACAGCAGCATTATGCGCTTAAATGGAATGACTTCCAGACGTCCATACTCAGCTCCTTCCGGCATCTGCGCGACGAGGAGGACTTTGTCGATGTGACGCTCGCCTGCGATGAGCGCTCCTTTACCGCTCACAAGGTGGTGCTCAGCGCCTGCAGCCCATACTTTCGCAAGCTGCTCAAGGCCAATCCTTGTGAGCATCCCATTGTCATCTTGCGCGATGTACGGAGCGATGATGTTGAGAACCTGCTAAGGTGAGCATCACAATCCATTTTAAAGTGTTTTCCATTTACAGCTCTTCCATTGTAACCCCCTATTCGCTTCAGCTTCATGTACAACGGCGAGGTAAATGTGAGTCATGAGCAGTTGCCCGACTTTCTGAAAACCGCGCATCTGCTGCAGATACGAGGCCTAGCGGATGTCAATGGTGGCTATCCCTATGCTAAGGCTCTATCCACGGCCCTAAGCCACAACAACAATAACAATGCAGAAAGTAGCAATCACAACAAAATCAGCAACTATTTGCCCACAGCGCTGGGCAATTCCAACCTCAATGCCAACAGCAGTAACAGCGCCAGTAACAACAACCACAGCCAGAGCTCGACCTTTAGCACCCCGCAAACGCCAGCCGCAGTGCCGGCGTCCAGTGCAGCCGCTGCCGCTGCAGCAGCCTCGCTGACAGCGGCCGTTGCCGCAGCAGCCGTCGCCACAGCATCCAATCTGCCGTTGAGTAGTGGGAGCAGCAGCAGCATCAATCAGGGCCAAGGACAGAGCCAGGGAGCAGCACAGAGCAGCAGCAACAGCAGCGGCACGCCCGCCATTCAGGAGCTAAAGGCATCCGCAGCGTCGCCCGTAAGAAACTCCAATCCAAATCCAAGCAAAGTAATGTGTGCAGTTCCGTTAGCTTGCACTCGATTTGATTGTGACATGCATTAGCCCTCACTAACTACCATTTACGTATCTCTATGACACTTTAGGCCAGCAGCAATCATTGGGATCTGAGCGATATGGAGGGCAGCCGGAAGAGTCATCTGACACCGCCACCACAGAAACGCATCAAGAGCGCTGACCTTTTCCGTGCGCAACATGGCATCAGTCCAGAGCGCCTGCTAATAGATCGTGACTTTCCCGTGGCGGGACAACATCCGCTAACTCGCAATCGCAGCCGTGATACGTCTAAGGATCGCGATCGCAGCCTGGAGCTGCGAGAGTCGCTGCTTGGCCAGGCTCTGGAGAGCAGCAACGGACAGCAGGGTAATCAGGTAAGTCAACTTAAATTAGGGCAACATAAACACAACTAAAAAGTCCCCTGGATTCGCGCCAGTAACTTCTATAATACCCCAACTGTCTATCGTTTTGAAATTTATGCAGAAACATGATCTCGGCCAGAGCGCCGGCGAAGATTCCAACAGCAGCGATACGGAGCCCTCGGATCGTGGGGATGGCCAACACGACGGTACACTCGACGGCATGGACAATCAGCGCTCTCACTCCTTCCCAAACGCATTCCTGGGACTGCAGGGCATTCCCGGCCTGCTGCCAGGACCATCCGGACTGGGTGGCAATGATTTTGGTAAGTACCCAGACCACTTTAGCTATTTTGTGAATATAATGGAGTATTTGCCTCTTGTGTATGATTTAACGGTCTGTTTCGGTTCGCGAACGATTTGCGTATGATTTGCATTTACTAGAAGCTCGTTACTAACTATCGACAGCTATCGATAAACCGATAAACGTCAGGGCATTCAAATTCGATAAGCAATTGGCCTAACTAGTACAAAAAATGTAAACCCAAAAATTAAAATAAAACATGTATATATAAGTTTAGTTAACTGCGCTGTATATCGATTGTTATCGGTTTATTGTAATCATATTCTTATCAATTGCATACTGTCTAAAAAAAAAAATTACTCTTAAGTAGCAGTTTTAGTTTATGATTTAAGTTACGCAGCGAAACTCACAAATTGTTTGACAAACTATATGTTTGCCTATCGATAATACAACACTTATGCGCGCCAAATTAAGAACACTCATTTAGCTTGCCACATACACTCTTAGGCGCATGATGCCCAAATCGAGGCAATCATTAGACCCACAACCCACTAGAACTAGCACTAACAATAAAGAGGACCATATTCCAATCCCAGCCAATCGGCTCGAAGTGTGAAGAAATATGCGCGGGCCACGTGTCGCATTAGAGCCGAAAACGGGCAAAGTTTGGCCGGACAACTGCTGGCCAGGACATTTGGAGTGCGATTATATATATATTCCGGATAGAAGGGGAAACGGCCGTAATGTTCATTTACGTATGTGCAAATGTTTCGAATAACGCACAAAAAATTATTATTATTACTATTACTATTACTATTATTATGATTATGATTACCATTCGATATTATGCGTAAGGGGATGACTAGCCGGATGCTTGTGGAAAACCCGTTACAAATATGAATCGTTGCGTTCCGTTTCGATTCCACGTAACGTAAAAGTCAAGAATTCGTTAAGGCTACTAACCGCCCAATTCCCCCAACCCAATCGCTTTTCTTGTTTGCGTTGCCGAACACATTACACGCACTTTGTATAGCGTCGCAAATGTCGCATTTATCGCGCATTAAAATGATAATGGTGCCTTAGCCCACATTGGAGCACCTCCAGCAGTCCTGCATTGGGACTTGGCCTATGCCGCCGCTAAGCCGGCGATGCCATTTAATATTCAGCGCACATAGATCATTGCAGCAAATGTTGACCGGCTGGTGGCTGGTCGGTTAGTTGCTGGGCCGAACGACTAGAAGATGCCTTGGTAAGCCAGTCGGTCGGTAGGTCTGTCAGTCGGTCTGTGTGTCGGACGGACGTCGCAGATGCCGTGCCTCAAAGCGAGTTGCAAAGAAATCAAATTTAATAAAGCATAAACATTCAATAAGCTTCGACTTGCACGCCCTCAGTTCGGGCTGAGGGAAAAGTCATTTGAAATTCCGAACGGCGGTAACGGTGGAACTGGGCTTGTACTTGGGCTTTGACTTGGCTATTTCGCAGTCGGAATCGAAAATATTAACGGCCCAAGCTGAAAAGGATAAAGTTTTGTACAATGATAAAAATGATAAGTTCCTTTCTTTTTTTTTTGGTCTGGTTCTCTGCTCTTGTTGTGTTTTGTTGTTTTTCTATGTCATGAGCTGTCCTTCCCTCCAGCTTCTCGTTAGACTTCGGACAGTGCCAAGGCAAAAGGACAAAAAAGGACGACACTCCTCGCACACATACATATATTTAGATTTTATTTCATTTTATTGCTTTTTTGTGCATTCGATTTATTCGAACACATTGAGAATGGTCGAAACGGTCTTAGAAATTGCGTACATGTGTGGCAAGGACTTGAAAGCTCAGCCCCCGTGTCTCCACTCACCATTTCTACATGCCCGTCCAGTACAGCCCATGCCAGCTCAGTTTAGTAATATGAGTTAGGTTTGCATTTTAATATATTTGTGCCTTTCTTCTTATTCGCACACAGTCACAATCAGATGCGGGCCAAGTGTTTGAGCAAAAAAACTACAAAGGCGAAAAAGTTTACTTTGCAAAATCCGTTGCAGAAACATTTATAAAGTGGCCAGCCCCAAAACGACTAGAAGTAGCAGCCAAAGCCAAGGTGACGGGGCAAACAGGGCGTTAGAGGGACGGTGTCGCTCCTGGGAGCGCAAAAAGGACTTGAATAACAAGGCGTAGGAGCTGGCGCTGACCTCTAGAAGGCGTTGCCATCCACGACATTGGTCTGAGCGACATTTTAAAATGAAAATGATAGCAAAGCTGGAAAAAAGCGAGCAGGGATCGAGTGAGCTGCCCCCCGGCTGACTGGAGGTGGACAGGCGGCAGGCAGTCGAAACATTGACAGCAAATAAATGGCAGCAAAAATAATAACAGCAAAGGGGAGGTGTAGCTCGTGTATGTGTGTGTGTGTATATGTGTGTAGATAGAATGTGTGTAAAAATTAAAAAACCCCCCCAAAAAAAAAAAAAAGAAAAACACCAAGCCAAGCGGTAAAATTCAGAAAGGCAAACGAAAGACTTTTTGGCAGCACAACGAACCCAATGTCAGCTCAGCGCCATCTTTCGGCGTTCGTTCTTGGATGCAAGACGTCAAGAAAGTTGCCCAGGCACATGTTATCGCTTCGCCAATGCAGTTGGCGCCGACATACGTGGGCGAAGAAAAATCATTGACATATAAGGCCATTTGCTCATTTCTTGTGCAAACCAAATGCAAAAGTTCCACAAGCAGAACGGCACGGAGAAGGCACGGAGGAGCTCGGACTTGGCCGGACCGACTGGCGCTGGCCAGCTAATGCGCAAAGTTTTTTTTTTCAATTTTGTTTGCCAGCTGCTTCCTTCCATACGGCCAAATTTATTTATTTATTTATTTATTTATTAATGGTCGACAAAACGAGTGTCTTCCTCATTATTCAAAAGGTTGTACAATATAAGTATATTCTAAAAGCCTAGTTAAAGGATACAATTTTCTAAATAGCATCACCGACCGATGGAGGTGTTTTATTTGCCAGTCCGGCCAGCTGTGCCCCTTTTCACAGCTAATTTTGTCAGTGACGCTATTAGAGCCTACATCTAAGCAGAAGGTTGTAAGTAGGAAAAAAGTGATCTCAAGTGTAATTAAAAATAATCTTAATTTGCTAAATTAATAAAGAAAATACAATAAATAGGAAAAAAGAAAGTAAGAAAATTGTTAATAAAGTAAAGCAATGTAAGTTAGATAAAGAGTGTTAAGTGGATAGGACAAAGAGAAAAGTATTGGGAAATCACCGACACGGTGGGGGAAAATTTTTCAGCCTGTCCGGCTAGCTAAATGCAAATGCATTATGTTGTGCCACATTCGTACAAAAATCTCATTCAGCACTGTCGCAGATGTGTTGACAGTTCCATTTCAACAGACAGAACTGATCTGGCTGACAGACTTGGTCAAATTGTGGATGAGTTAATAGCTTAGGTAATTGCAGAAGTTGAGAGTTTTGGACTTAAACCAAGTACGTATGTTTTTAAAAACTAGCTGAGATTAAGACTGCTTAGCCTGAAAACGATCTTATCACGAAATGCCTAAATACGACTAAAATAAACAGAAAGAAAAGAAAAACTATATTTAGTTACAGTTCTATCCAAAAGTAGAAATTCAGAAGATATATAGACAACAATAGAGACATTCAATGGACACAGAGTATGGGATACAAAAAAAATTAGCGGCAGGCAAACCGAGGAACATTTCTTGAGCCAAACCAAACGCGCCCAGTTCACGGCAGTGTGAGTGTGCGTGTTGGCCAACTGCTCGTGTGTGTGTGTGTGTGTGTGTGTGTGATTATGCGAATTGGGGTTGGATGATGGCAGTCATTTCTATATGTTGGCGTGTTTGCATTTAATAAATTCGATTAACAACGGAATAAATACGCTTAAATGCGGAAAATAATGAAAACTAACGAAAAGCGTTTTGTTAGACGTCGGCGTTGGCGTTTGCCATGTAGTTGTCGTCGCTTGGGCGCCGCTTTCATTCTATCCGGCATTCAATCATTCCTTTCAGTTATTCATTCGCTTTACGAGCTGTGTTATTATTGTAAATATGTTGTTGTTGCTGCTGTAACAAATACAAATACATTACGTGAATAAACGCACCCATTATTTCATTTCATCAAGAACCATTAACGCCAACACGCTTGCAAGCCACCTCCCTATCACATTTGCCCCTGCCCCTGCCCCACCACTACATATACATATACATATACACACTCACCGCGCCTTGTAGCACCCACTTGGCCAGCTTGACTTGCCTCACACGCCTGCATCCCAGCCAGGACATGAATATGCTGAAGGAGCCGAAGACAGGCAGGCGCAAGAAACTTCTCCAGGGATAATGAGTAAAATTATTGGAAATACGTTTTCAGTGCGTGTGCCTCTCGCATGCTTGGGCATCTATATCTGCATTTATTATTTTTACGTATTTTGCAACTATACCTAGCAACATCAGATCTTCTGAATAACAGTTTAGTAGCTGCGCAACAAATCTTAAAGTATTATCGAAAGGTTGAGAGCTGATTGCGAATTACAATGGTTTTTCTACAAGTAGCAGTATGTTTCTATATGAGTATCTTAGAAGATATTCTATTTTCTAAGGCATGCAACCCTAAGAGTATGAAAAGGGTTTTTTTTTGCAAAATATTTTAATTCAGTTGCACGCACTGCCACGCCCACTTGACCACTAGCTAGCAGCAACAATAGAGAACAAAAAATTGTTATCAAATTAATTTCAAAAACTCGCATCTGCTGCACGTCACACATAAACGCACATCCTGCACACAATGTGTGCCTATATACACATATCTGATACGTATATAGATATATTATATATATATATATATATATATATATAGAGAGTAACAAAATGCCAGGGACACTTTCGGGCACACACACAAAAATGTACATAAGGGGTAGGTTATGGAGTGGGCGTAGGAGTGGAAGTTCGACCGAAAACGAAACCGAAACTAAAAACTTTTGAGTTAAATTCTCGCTCTAATGTTTATGTAGATGAGGG